TTTGTGTTCTACACAAGAGGAGTAGGAATTGAAAAGCCAGAAATACTTCATTGTAAAGGATATCAAGGAACGTCTGTGCTGTAACTACAATTGTATAAAGACGGTTTCTGACTTAGGATGGTTTAACTTGCGATTTTTCAACTTTATGACAGGGTGAAAGTGAGATGCATTCAGTGGAAACTCCACTTTGAGGATCCATGCAACCATTCGGGTTTTCACTTTCAGGGCGGCATTCAATAAATTCCATGAAATTACGTGAGATAGTCAACACTTCATTTTACATAGGTGTTGTATGAGATAATTTTGCCCTGCCAGAGGCTAATAATGTAAGTGTTCCGGGCATGTTTAAGGTAGATGGGGCTAAGCTGTGATGCTCGGTATGTTAGGTGCATGAAACGCGTTTTCAACCTACTCTGGGGCTGTTGGGGCATAACCCATTGTAAGCTGAGGAGGATCTGTATCGTTTTCACGCTTTGCTTTAATGTAAATGCTCTCTTAGGGCAAGTGGGGTGACGGGGGTACTGAAAAGTTAGGTTATAAACCCAAGACCTTACCTGTGGAAGCTGGCGGGTCTGGTCAGGCCTTTGGTCCTGACACATAGTGTCACCGCACCAAGCAGGCGTCGGGGAGGCAGGCTTACACGCCAATGTGCTGCTGATGTTCAGAAAAACAGCCAAAAGGAATGTTTTCTTCCAAAATCTTTAGGCTGGATGCCAAATTCAACAGTTATACCATTGTTCTAAACGTCTCACCACTCCTGTGTGGAATTGCCCTCCAAATTCAGAGGCAAATCTCATATGGGTTTGTATTTTATTGATGCGGCACAGTTTTGTATTAGATGTGGTGCTGTGGGGACCTGACCCAGTGCCACTCAACCATGGCCATGACTGAATGAGCCCTGGGGTAGGGGAGGGAGACAACAATTCCGCTTAGGGGTGGTGCTGGCTTTGGGGCAAAGGTTGATGTGGCCAGGCAGGGTAGGAAGCATTGAAGTCCCACGGAGACACCCTGAATGACATTTCCAGCAGAGCAGCTCAGCCTGTCAGCAGGTGCTTGCTTCAACTGCGCCCTCTATTCCCAGGGTCGTTTCTGGTTCTCTGAACACACAGGGCTACTTTGAAACTCAGGGCCTTTGCACAAGTTCTCTGTAACTCAGCTGCCCTCTCCCTCAAAGATTTCTAATTCCTCTCTCAAAATTGAGCTCAGAGGCATCTCCCCCAGGAAGAAGTCACCCTGCCCCCTCCCAACCCTTTCCAACCAGGGCTTGAGAGGAAACTAACATTGAGCAAGCCACCTTAGGCCGGGCACTGTGTTAGGACTGTCTCCCTGTGACCTTGTTTGACTCCGTGACGCAGTATCATTATCCTCATTTTCCAGACTCAGAAACAAGCCACACAGCATGCCAGGGGCAGAGCCCAGAGGCAGACCCAATCTGTGCCAAGCTTAGCCTCACTGGGGCCCTGTCCTGTCACTCTCATGCCGTTTAGGGGTTTCAAAGGCTGTCCCCTCTGCTCTGTGAACTCCAGCGCCTGGCAGCTGTGGTCGGATGGTGGCCCGTCCAGGCTCGCACACAACTGGGCTTGCTCTGGAAAGCTGGAGCTGTTGATTTGGGGGTGGCTCAGTCCCAATCCCAGTGGAGCAGAGAGGAGGTAGCTTCTTGGCCGGCAGGTGTCTCTCATGGCTAGTGGCTCTGGTGGCCACAGTTTATATGAGAGGAATGAGGGACCTGGCAGTCACGGTGGGTACCCTCCTCACTCCGCTAATGGAAATGGGGTCCAGCATCTCTGACACTTCTCTCCTGAGCCTCCTCTCTCAGTTGCAACCAGGACCACGTCTCCCTGCCCGCACAGCACTGTGGGACCCTGAAGTTCCCAGCTCAGAATCACAGCTCTGGCTCCGCTGGAGTTCTACTGTGTGCTTTTCTTTCTTTTTCAATGGTTCTCTTTGCAAAAGTACTTTCAATTTAATGAAATATGTGATAACACTATAAAATTTTATGGGAGTGAATCAAACTATTTTGGGTATCATACTTGTGGAAGTTTTATTTTTTAATTTAAAAAATCAGAAAACAATTTTTTTTGCCTTTTCTTACCAGATTTATAAAGATGTGAACCCCTGTAAATACCAGATAAAGCAGGAGGCAACTCCCAACAAGTAAAATGAACAGCCCCTACTGTTTCTGCCAGCGACATCTTCTTGCTCATGGTGGTTTCAGTTCCTATCATTCATCTTCACCTCACTTCAGGTCTTGGAGGAGCCTGACCAGCTGCTGTGTTCTTCTGAAGGGCAGTGTGGAGGCCAAGGCAAGCAAAGTGTGCTGGACACAAAGGATCCCAGTCCCCCCATGCGCCTTTCATGACCCCATGCCTTGCGAAGAGTGACCAGGGTTAAAGCCAAAGAATGACATTTTACCACGATTCTCTTGAGTTAAATTCCAAAATGAACGCAGCAGGTGCACAATTCCAAATGTGTTTAAAGCAGCCGGCGAGTGTATGTTAATACAGCTTCCTTACGGCTGTGGGTTTCCAAAGATGCAAAGCCCCAGGCAAATAGGGTGGTGTCACTAGCTCCAGGGCCAGGATCGTGGGTTTCTGTCTACTCACGATAGACAAAAGCTCTCTCGTGGGCATCATTGTGCTGGCCAAGCAAGACTTCCCCATCCCCAACCCAGTGCATTATAGAGAGATCCAAAATGCAGGGACTGGGAGGAGCCCCCCACCGCTTCACCTGGAAGCCAGGGGGCAGCTCAGACAGCTCGGCTTTGGCCTTTTGGGCTGTTGTACTACCTGATGTAGTCCTGAAAAATATCTAGATACTTCTTTTAAGCACTCGGACTGTTTCTTTTCAATAAGCACTTGGAACAATTAGCCTGCAGTGTTTATAAAGGCCCCCAGTCCCTCCCTTACCAAATGTTTTGGGGCCAGGTGCGTTTCAAAATTCAAGTCTTGTTGAATGTTAGAAAGATCACATAGTACCATATATTTTGCATATGGGACAGTGCCAGTAATCAAGTTAATAATGCTACAGTAGAATGTATGCAAATTCATACCAAGTCAAACACATATAGATACAAATAGGCTCGTATCTTTTCAGCTGGGTTTTGCCACCACATAAGGTCAAATGAGTCATGAATAACTTGCAGTTTTCAGAGGTCGTTGATTTTTAATTAATTAATTAATTAATTAATTAATTAATTTTTTGAGACAGAGACTTGCTCTGTTTCCCAGGCTGGAGTGTAGTGACATAATTTCAGCTCACTTCAACTTGCGCCTCCTGGGTTCAAGCGATTCTCTTGCTTAAGCCTTCTGAGTAGCTGGGACTATAGGCATGCACCACTATGGCTGGCTAATTGTTGTATTTTTAGTAGAGACAGGGTTTCACCATGTTGGCCAGGCTGGTCTCAAACTCTTGGCCTCAAGCGATCTGCCAGTCTTGGCCTCCCAAAATTCTGGGGTTATAGGGGTGAGCCATCATGATAAGTTTGCCTTTGGAATTATTTATACATCTAGGTACTGGAGGTTTTGACTTCAAGTAGCTGCTTGTAATCTGCTTGGGATGGGTACAACTGACCTACCTGGCCACCTGTGAGGCTGGGCAGTGTCTGATTAGGAACCCAGGGCTGTTCCCGGGCCTCTCCTGTTGCCTGGCTCGTGCATATGCTGTGGCGTCCACACACACTTCCCACTTGGCTGGTACAATTACCGTGCAGGGAGGCAGGGGCACGACGCAGGGAAAGAGTTTGAAGCCTGGGGCAGGTAAGGACGTGGCAGCATGGTTGGACCATGGAATCCAAGCTCAGGGACCCTTGGCCCCATCTTTTGTCCTGGCACCATGCTGCACTTTGCTACTGCTGAGCCTTCAAGTCCTTTCTCATAAATGAAACGGGGTGAGAACATGAGCTTTGGGAGTTGATATTTCTTATGAACTTAGAAGAACTCGGGTAACTCTGTGGTTTCATGTGCTGTAGAATTTCCAGGAAGGAAGAGAGGCCTTTATTTGCTGACATGGAGGAAGATATTTGTGGGGGAAACGGGTGGGACTAGGAAATACACTCAACACCTAATCAAAATGGTCCAGTGGTTTAGCGTTTCTGAAAAAGAAAAGAGAGAAGAGGATGACAGTCCTCTCCTTCCTTCCACTCTGCGCCTCTTCCTTCCCTCCCTCTGGCAAGATTGTCAGGCTGGACCAGCTTCTCAGGGAATTTGTGGTGGGGAAGGCTGCCAGGTCCCCTCGTGGCTGCATCCTAAGGTCTCCTGGAGTCGAGAAGACATACCCCATCTGGGGGCTCTTGGACAGCCTTGCTCGCTATCGCCTGAATGCAAACACACCCAACTCTTCCAGAATGCATCCTGCATGGGTCCTCCTTGGCCCCTGTCTTCTGCAGCTCACCAGCCATGAGCCCTGTTCTCACTCGTGTATCCTCTAGAGGCTTCTCCTCTAAACATCTGCAGTCCTCCAGCCTGCAAGCTTTACAGACCATTCCACTTCACATGGAAAACAGCAAGCTCAAGGAATATACCTGTAGGAAGGGTCATTACTGTGGTCAAGGCTGGGGGCAGATAGGGTTCCTGGGGTCCCCTCAGCTGAGACCTGACCTCACTGCTTAGATGCAGGAGTCAGAAGCTCTCCCAGTGACCCTAAAGTGTGGCCAGAGTCGAGAGCTACGCCTGGTCCAGCCCCCTCCCCTGTTGGTTTCCTGGTCTCTGGCTTTCCCAGAGCCACCCAGCTGGATGATGGGAAGTCAGCTTCCCCGCTGCAGGTGTCCTCATTCTGCAGAGCTGTCCCAGGCCCGAGCGAGGTGGGTAATGACTGCGAGCAGCTCCTTTAACCCTACCCTGAATTCCTCACCGGCTGGTGGCCTCTGTGGTCCACAGGGCAAAGGTTTCTCTGCACAGCTGGATTATCAGCAACCTGAGGGCAGCGGCCAAGCTGTCCCTTTCTCTGATACCCACCCGAGAAACAGAGCACTCCACTGTGACTGCCTGTCCCCTTCCTTCCAGTGCAGGGACTACCGGCGCGGTGTGCTGGCTGGGGACCTGTGCGTGGACCTGTGCGTGGCGGGAAAGCTGCTCTTCCGACGCTGCCTGCATCACAACAGGGGCAAGAAGGTGCTGCAGGCCGACTGGCGGGGCCGGCCTGTAGTCCTCAAGTCCAAGGAGGAGGCCTTCTCCAGCTTCCCACCCCTCGGCCTGTTGGAAGAAGAGGCAGGGGAGGGTGGCCAGGACGTACCTGAGGCGGAACTCCTCCTGATGGTGGCCGGGGAGGTCAAGAGCGTCCTGGGCCTGGAGCTGTCCAACAGCAGCCTGGGGCCGTGGTGGCCGGGCAGGCGGGGGCCACGCTGGCGGGGACAGCTGGCCAGCCTGTGGGCCCTGCTGCAGCAGGAGGAGTACGTCTACTTCAGCCTGCTTCAGGACCTCAGCCCCCACGTGCTGCCCGTGCTGGGCTCCTGCGGCCACTTCTACGCTGTGGAGTTCCTGGCTGCGGGCAGCCCCCACCACCGGGCTCTCTTCCCCCTGGACCGGGCTCCGGGTGTCCCTGGGGGTGGCCAGGCCAAGGCCATCAGCGACATTGCGCTCAGCTTCTTGGACATGGTGAACCATTTTGACAGCGACTTTTCCCACCGCCTCCACCTCTGCGACATCAAGCCAGAAAACTTTGCCATCCGGAGTGACTTCACAGTAAGTGCTGCAGGGCGGGTGTGCTTATGTGTGAAGAACGGAGCTCTCGGGTCTGGTGGGAAGGAAATGAGAGGGTTTCTGAGCTCCTGGCCTGAGTTAGCAAACCACTATTGCTTCTGTAGTCTCAAAGAACTCAGAGAGCTCCCACTCACCAGACCACTTCCTCTCAGATGTTAGCAAGGAACAGATGCATCTGGAGTGAGGAATTGAATGGACGGAGCCCACAGTGGGAGGCAGAGGGCCAGGCCACGTTCGTCCTCCCAGAGGGCTGCTCTGGTTCCTTCACCTGAGCCGCGGGGCTGCTTTGAGTAGGCTCACTTGTGGGTCTGTTTAACTTGAGCAGAAAATAGTCCACAGGAGGTGAGGGGCTGAAGAGGGCGATGAGGGAGGGTGGCCTCTGGTGTGCGGGTGCTGTTCTCAAGCTGCACACGCTCTGTGACCCAGTGTTTTTTTTCTGGAGAGGTTCCAGTTAGTTTCCATTCCCTATGTAAGACTTCTAGAGGAACAAATGGAGCTTTCGTGACTTCCACAAGGGAAAAACCTGCCCAGGTAGAAATATCTGCCACCGCACCGTGGGGCACATGTGTGTTCATCTCCTGCCCTGGGGCCAGGCAGCCGCATGAGAACAGCAGGAGCGGACGAGCAGCGGTGGGAGCCTCAGCGTCCTCGTGTAACACAAACCCCTCTCTCTTTACCTGGTTGGGCAAACACTGATGTGTCAGAGTAATGCTGCTGCAATGATCCCAGTGCCCTCATGCTGTACCAAGCACTGGGACCCTCCGAGAGGAAGTAGTAATAGGGCAGGCAGGGATGTCGCAGGTGCGGGATGGGTTTGGGGAAAGCAGCGTGCTCTGCTCCCCACCTGCTGTAACAAGTTCATTCTTACACGGTCAGTGCTGCCAGCCAAACAGCCAGACCTGCTTAGCTCCAGTCACCAGGGCCTGCTGGTCACCATGGGGCCTGGTTCATGGTCGGGTCGTGCTCTTCATCATGGTTGTAACATAAAGGGACAAAAACCAGGCACCGTTACTGCCAGTCATGGCCTCCAAGGCAGGTGGCACAGGAGTGGCATGGCCTTCTGAAAGCAGCTGGAAAACTAAATCTGCTGCCAGTGTAAATCCTTCTCCACCCATGCCCTCATCCCTGCAAAGGGCATTGTATATCCCACCTTCAGTGCTCTGTCCTAATGCCTCAGTCCCTGCCGCCCTGCAGGGCTGACAAGCCAAGGGTGCCTCAAAGTGTGGCAGGGAATGAGCTAGGAGGTTCTGGGAGGTTCCAGGGGGTCTGTGTGCTGGGCTGGGAACTCCAAGGGAACTCAGCTCCGTTTGCAATACTCTGAGTGCCACGTGCATCTCCCAGACACTGTGCCGATATGTGTGTGGCGGAGAATGACCCACAGACACATTGAGGCCTTGTGGGGGAGGTCAGGGAGTATCCATGCACAACCCCCCCAGCTCTTGGCAGCCGCAGGCCAGTTCTTGTCACTCAGTCACCCCCTTCTTCCTCCGGCAGGTGTCAGTAAGCATCAGAGAGTGGGATCCAGCAGGTGCCGTAATTGTTGAGGGAATTTCTCGAGGATATCTGCTTCCCGAAGGAGCCGGGGTTGATGGGGTCTGTGAGGCCGAGTGGACATCATTGGATGCTTTTTATCTACTTGTCGATTGTCCAGTGACTGCTTTGTGGGAACCACCTAAGTTGTGCCTCCAATACCTTGCACACCATCAGCACAAAACATTTGGTCAATAAAATAATGACTGTGCAGCCTTTGCCTAGCCCTGGACTGTGTTTTGCTGGCTGGCGCTGCACCGCTCAGGGCTGTTACCTCCACTGCAGTCTTGGCTTGGGTGAGGATAGGGAGGAGGACAGGAGTCGTCCCCTTCACCAGTCCTGCTGTTCTGGACCCTTCTTGCAGACCCGGGGGTTCAAGGAGTTATTTTCCCCAAGCTTTTACAACTTTTGAGTGAAAACCAGCAATATCTGCATCACCAGAGAGCTCATTAGAAATGCAAATTCTCAAACACCACCCCAGACCTATTGAATCAGAAACAACCGGGATGGGAGCCAGCAATCCCTGTCTTAAACACAAGACCTCCTAGTTGATTCTTATGTGGGCTCATGTTTGAGAGACGGTGAGCTCAGAGTCCTGCGGGTGGGTCCTGACTTTGAGCCCAGGTTGCTGGGCTGCCCCTGCGGAAGGAAGGGGCGCCTCCCAGCAGATGCCCACTTGCAGATCTCGAGGGTGTGCCCAGTGGCTGTAAATGAGTAACTAGGAGCCATCACGACTTCATGGTCCTACACTATTGCCCGCCCCCCACCCCAGTACTCTTTTCCAGCAGATGGCATGGTTTCCTACTCCAGGGCCACGCTTTTTGGTGAAGAATGAAATAATTCTTGTTCATTTTCCTATTCCGATGCCAGGAGGAAGTTTGAAGAAGATGAGGCAAGTTGGGTAATTTCATGCAGGAAGGATTTTGATTCTCCTGATGTTAAGAAACATGATGTAGGTTTTTCTGTTCTTTTTTTTAAAAAATACTGCTCTTATTTTAGGTGCATAGGGTTACGTTTATGAGTTGTAATCCATTGTAGACCTCATACACTAAAAATTAAAAAATAAATCTGGCTCTCCAGAAGGAGAAGGAAACTATCAGAAATGGGAAGGAGAAGTTGCAAGAAGCTAAAATTCTAATTAGGGGCCCAGGGGAGGCTGGGGAGTATGCCAGAAACCATAGAAAGAAGAGTCGTAGCCCCAGCAATGAATTATAAAGACGGGAGAGTCATTAGCATAGCCCTTCTTCATTCTTAGTGTGTTAACCAGGGCAGATAATGAAATCAGCTATTTGTTTTGGCTAAATAATGGGATAGGAAAGATTAAAATGAGATGTTGTAGCATCCGAATTAGTAATTAGGCAAAACCCCTTAAATAGAGAAAAGGCCTATATTGTTTGTTTCCATTAATCTCCACATATTTTGAAATACAGCTCCATTTTACTAAATAATCCCCACAAACTTCATTGCCTTTAGCATCAATCCTGAATGAAAAGCTAAAACTAAAACCCAAACCAAAATGTGCTTCCCAAATTGCATAGAACTGAGGAGGAATAACCAATGAATGAAACGCTGTTTGAAACACTCCCAAAGGGAGAAGGAAAGGCTGCTATTTCGATGCTGACCTGTGAAGGCTTGTGAAATGCCACTGACTCCATCAAATTCATCAACTTTCCTAGTGCCTGTTTAACACCCGAAGCTATACACGGCTTGATTTGGGCAGATTCCAGGTTTTCTCAGGTTTGAGCTCATCTGTTTTTGTTGTTGCATCTAGGTGACTGAGGAAGAGCTGCATATTTTAAAAGTTCTTTTTTTTTTTTTTTTTCTGTTTTTGAAGTCTGTTTGGTTCAATGCCAGGGAGATAAATCTGAAGTTCCAGGGGTCATCGTGTTCTCACGACGACAGTGAACTCAGGCGTTTCTCCTGTTCAGGTCCTTTGCATATCAATCTTAATTCGAGGACTCTCCTTCACTTTGTCGTCTGTCAGTCCAAAGCCAGCTGACTCAGGTAACAGACATGCCGTGAGGAGAACATAGGCACTGCCTACCTCAGTTTCTCCATCACGCGTGAAGACCTGCCCCTCGAATGTGGATTCCTTGGATTGCTTGTATTCACGAGGATAGATTCTCTGTATCTTACAGTTTTACAGCCCTGACTCTTGAAGCTCAGAGACCAAAGTGATAAGGGAGCAGAGGGGAAATTCATTTACAAGACATCTCAGAGATCCTACTGGCCAAGCTGAGAAAATGTCTAAAGATGAAAAGTGATATTTGTGGTGACAGTTCCGAATCCTGGGCTTTCACCATGGCTGCAGAGTTCTTTTTGCAGTTAAAGCCTTGCAATAACTATGACAGTTGCCTGTGTAAAATAAAATGCATGCAGGCACTTCAAGGGAGCAGTCCACTCCCCAGGGCATGGCTGGGGCTTTCCTCTTGGCTCGTGAGAGTTCCGGGATCACCTGTGACCTGGACAGTGGCACCCGCATGAGCTGAGCACAAGCTGTGAACAGGCTCCCTCTCCGAGGAGCTGACCAGTAGCCCTTTGATAGCCCGTGCTCTTTTGATTACAGGTGGTGGCTATTGATGTGGACATGGCCTTTTTTGAACCTAAAATGAGGGAAATCCTTGAACAGAATTGCACAGGAGATGAAGACTGCAATTTCTTTGACTGTTTTTCAAGATGTGATTTGCGAGTCAACAAGTGTGGAGCACAGCGCGTCAACAACAACCTGCAGGTAGGCGGAGGCCGCCAGGGCTGGGGGAGGGAGGGAGGGGGCTCCGCGGCTGTTCCTGCCGCTAGCACTGCAGATACCCTCTGTGGAGCTCAAGGGCAACCTTTTCAGGCCATCCATGTGGCTCAGTCGATGTGGTCAATAAAGGCAGGACCTCGGGATGGAACAGTCATGTGCTCTTTGTTGCCCTCCCCCAGGGTTGTTGGTCAGGTGACCCAGGGGCATCTGCTGAGGGTTGCTCCCTGCAGAGCTGGCTGCTGGGCTTCCTCTTGCCCAGGCTCCACCCCACGTATCAACAACCGCTCATGGACACGGGTACACCCATGATGAAAACCCGGAGACTAATCCACCAAAGACAAGACTGAGAAGGATGCAAAGCAGTCCCGAGACACTGGCCTCACTAGAGGTTGGACAGAAAGCACCATCCAGACAGGCCAGGAGTCAGGTCCAGAAAGTAGTTTAGAGTGGAAGAAATGAGCGAAGTCCAGAAGATCAGCCACACGTGGAGTGCACACAGGACTTGGGCATTCAGAGGCAGCCAGCCTCAGGCTCCCCGTCTGGGGTTGAAGCATCTCCCCTCTTGCGGCAGAAGCTGTTTCTTTCTGCCCTCACCGAGGCTTTCATGGAGGGTGGATGCACCTGGGCCCACAGGTGCTCATCATAGCCGGAGGCGGCCCCGCAGCGTCCAGGTGGGCCTCGCCGTGGCCTGGTTGCATGTGATCGCTCACGGGGCTCTGGCTTCGCACTCTCCAACCTGCTCCCCTAGTGGGCCCTCCACTGTAGCTTGTCCTCCTCCTTCCTTGAACCTGAAAGGCCAGTGTGAATCCACTGCAGACCCAAAACGCAGGTTACGTGGGAGCAGGAGAGAGGAGCCCAGCATGGTGCTGCATGAGCCGTGATGGGGATGATTTGGGAAGGCGGGGACAGGTCTGCTGTTAATCTGGTGGTCCCAGCCAGGCCAAACAAACACCCCCACTCTACCACCCCAGAGTCTACAGGAACCTTCTGGGCCAAAGAATCACTGCGTATTTCCCCTTTCAGGAAGTCTAGGAACGCGGTGGCCTTCAGAGGTGTCTCCATCCCAGCCTCTTTAATGTGGACTCACACCCTTGGTGGAGTCTGTCATGAATCATTCTTCTTGAGCTGTGGGAAGAAGATAATTTTCACCTGAGCATCCACTGCCTTGCGAGCCCATCCTACAAAATGGGAACACAAACGCCTGCTCTTTGCACTATAACGAGAGGCTGAGTTTACACCTTTATGTAGAAAGGGCTCTTACCGATTCATTAAGGGGCAGCAGGAACACAAAGAAAATTGGCAGAACAGTCACCAAATGCAAACGCTGAAATCCAAATGGCCAAAAAATTTGGAAAATTATTTTGTCTTACCATTCAAAGACATGCAGGTTGAAATTCAATGATAAGAAATTTCACTTGCCAATCGGGAATAGTCATTGAAATGCTATCAATTAACAGTTGAGGCTTCAGGGAAATAAAGAAGTGTCTATATTGCTAAGGTGGTTGTGAATCACGTCTCTCTTGAGGGTGTGTGGCTGTTAGACACGTTAGCCCTGCTCTTTAGTTGGGCAATTTTATTTGTGCACATATCTGATTATTGACTTTGAATAAAGTCCTAGAAATGAAATTACACGTTCTATTAGGATATGAGAAAATATGAAGCATTAGGTGAAAAAAATGCAGGTTACAAATTAGTCTTTACAATACCATCCTATTTTTGTTAAACAGTATATGATCCTTATATACCAAAATGTCAAATATACCTATATCCCAAAATGTCAAAAGCAAGTATTTCTGGAAGGTAGGATTACAGATAATTTTCTTTATTTTATATTTTCTTAGTTTTTTACTTTTTATTTCTATTTTATTTTAGAGACAGTGTCTCGCTTCATCACCCAAGCTAGAGTGCAGTGACACAATCAGCTCACTGCAGCCTTGAACTCCTGGGCTTAAGTGATCCTCTCACCTCAGCCTCCCAAATAAATGGGACTACAGGTGCATGCCACCACACCTAGCTAACTTTTTAATTTTTAATTTTTCGCAGAGACGTGGTCTCACTATGTTACCCAGGCTTGTCTCAGGCTTATAGTCTGAGAAGGTAACATAGTGAGACCACGTCTTCAAGTGATCCTCCCATCTCAGCTTACCAAACTTCTGGGATTACAGGTTTGAGCTACCATACCCAGCCTTAATTTTCTACATTTTGAATCCAAAATACCCCCCAAAATCTTGCTCTGTATAAATTTACAAATCAATAAAATGGAAATAGACCTATGAAATACAGGTATTTAGCCTCCAATAAAGGAGGCCTTTTAGACCAGGGCAGGGAGAGCTGTATTGCGCAGTGAGCAGTGCTGGTAAACTGGCTGGCTGGGCATGACAAACACCATGTTAGCTTCCTACTCCGGACCTCACACTAGATTCCAGATGACTCAGATACATGAAAAGATGAAATCCTCAAGGTACCAGAAAAAGCTGGGCGAGTTTCAAATATTATTCTAATGTAGAGAAGGCCTTTGCGAGTATGAGACAAAGCCAAAGAGGAACTGTTGACAAATTTAATTATCTTTCAGAAGAAAACCCATGTTGGTGTAAACAAAATTACACACACACACCAGAGCAAATACAAAAGTTACATGAGAAAATGTGCAAAGCGTTTGTGGTTCTTCTTATAGACTAGGGGTGCAGAGGTTGGAAGGGGGCTCCTTCCGGCTGCTGGGGCTCATTCTCCCAGGACTGGCTTCACCAAGGCGAGACCCACTTTCCAGAGGCAGCATCTAGTGATTGGTTCAAGAGGGTGAACCAGACACCAAGCTCCCTGTGCCTCACAAAGGGACAACTCCACAGGGACCCCCCCAGCCCCACACACTTGCTTCTTCCTCAGTTCCATGGAGTGTGGTTCCCAAGGACAGGCCTCAGAGAATCTCTGCCTGCAAACATCTGTCTTCGAGTCTACTTCCTGGGGAACCAACCTAAAGCAAGGGCAATGTCCTTAAGACATAAAGAGCATCTACAAATGAACACAACAAAGGCCAAAAATAGAAACTTGACCATTCATTGAAAAGGAAGCACCAACAGCTCTCAAACTAAGAAAAATGCAAATGAAACCATTTTCACCCATCTGTTGGCAAAATGAATCTGTGACACTGGTGTTGGAGCGGCCTTACAAGCATTCTTGGAAACATTGCCAGGGAATAGAAATTAGTAGAAATTTTATGAAGTCAATTTAACATATCTATCAAAACAAAAATGCACATGCCCTTTGACCTGGAAATCCCATTTCTAAAAATGTAGTCACATGTACAAAATGCAATAGGATATATCTGCAAGACATTTATTGCAGCATTGTTCATAATGGAAAATGTTATTATGCAACCTCAATTCCATCAATAGGGAACTCGTTAAATAACTTATGATACATGCAAACATTTCACAAGTGGCCATTCAATCACGTGGAATATCCTCATAAGAACTGATTTGGAGGGAATGGCTGGGCGAGGTGGCTCATGCCTGTAGTCCCAGTGCTTTGGAAGGCCAAGCTGGGTGAATCGCTTGAGCCCTGGAGTACAAGAACGGCCTGGGCAACATGGCAAAATCCTGTTCTCTACAAAAAATACAAAAACTAGCCAGGCATGGTGGCACATGCTTGTAGTCCCAGCTACTCAGGAGGCTGAGGTGGTAGAAGGATTGCTTGAGTCGGGGAGGTCGAAATTGCAGTGAGCCAAGATGGCACCACTGCATTCCAGCCTGGGTGACAGAGTGAGACCCTGTCTCAAAAAAAAAAAAATCAATTTGGAGGGATCTCCCTCATATAAATGGGGGTGGAAGTTGGAGAGCAGCGGGTGTAATATACTACCTATGTGTAAAAGAAAAAGAGAATGCGCATGTCAAAGACTGTCTCATTCTCAGCCGGAGCTGAGCGGGGTGGGGTGGAGCTCAAGACTGCAGTCTGGCCTTAAGAACATTTTAGATTTTGCACATGAAAATGTATTCTCTATTAAAAAAAACAAAAACAAAAACACAATTTAGTTTTGAAAAGAATCCTCGCCTTTGCAGGGATTGTGAAATGGAAGTTGCAGTTTTTGTCCTCTGTGAAGCAATAGCTCTCTACAATGGAGCCGTTTGTTAATTGAATCTGATACCGAGTGTGAGGCAGAGAAATCAAGCACGAGGAAGCACGCAGCTCCCAGCTCATTTCTGAGGGTGGGAAACTGGAGGGGCTATGAAACAAACAGCATGTTTAAACTGGGAAATTTCAAGAGATCCTCAGCATCACTGAGGATCATACCCGATTAGAATGACGGAGAGTGGCTAATTCTTACTTCTTCTCCTGGAATAACACGCGTCACAGAGCCTTAGGAAAGCCTTATGCCTGCAGCCTGTTCTCTCAGATATGCCTTTTTCTCCATGAGCCTTAAAGTGCGATACAGGCAGCCGCTCAAGTTCACACACTTCTCCCTCACGCAGTGTTTGGCCCTTCAGACGACCTGGTCAGGTGGTCATCGTGGTCACTAGGACCGGCTTGTGGATGAGAAAGCTCATCTCCAGGTGGTGATGGCAAAGCTGGCCTCCCTCAGGCCTGCAGAGGACCAGCTCTTCCCGCAGCAGTGACTGCCTGTGACTTCTGCTTCCCTTCCTCCCTAGAAATGTGTCCAGTCCTTTTTCAGTGTCACCCAGGACTTCCTCCATTTGCTGGGGGCGCTGGAAAGGGAACTTTCTGTCTTACGCCGGGGTCGGCTTCTCCTCTCCGAGGTGCTGTTTGTTCCTGGTGCTGAAAGGTTTACGCTGCAGAAATGAGTGCACGTGTCAGAATTCGGATGGTCTCTGAATTGCGCTCCCTGAAGGATGGGGGTGGGGTGGGAGAGAAGCTGAGATCTGTTTCAGAACCAATCCTGGGCTTGGGAAGCTTTTAGGAGGATTTGCTGCCCTAAATTAACTGCCCACCCTTCCTTCCCTCAGGTCATCTGTGACAAAATATTTCGCCATTGGTTTTCCGCACCTCTCAAGAGCTCTGCAGTCTCTTTCCAGCTTCAGCTGCAGTTACAGGAGGCGGTGCAGGAATGTGCAGACCCTGTGGTTTCCAGCGGGAACACCCAGAGAGCAGCCCCCAGCATGTTCTGGAAGCTTCGCAGACTCCTCCAAGCCACACTGAGGGAGCTGCAGGAGGCAGAGGAGTAGACAATTTCTGGCCTTAAACAAGCCCACACAGGAAAAAAGAGACCTTGATGGATTTCTTCTGTCATCGTTTTAAAGATGAGCCATTTCCCTGTGCAAACCAGTGATCTCTGGGGTGCTGTTCTGGCCTCCACGGTGTGGAGTGCCAAGTGCTGCTGCCAGAGACGTGCCTCCTTTGCTCTGGTCCTGCCCTGGCCTCTGACCTGTTGCCTGGTGTAAAATGCGATGAGGGAGGGGATGGGGTACAGAGCATTTTACTTCAGGGCTCTCTGTCAGAAGACACGAACCTGTGTGCAGTTGCTCAATGCAGAGAGAACTTGCACCTGGTTTTCCCGGCAGAGTTCCAGCTGCTCCTCTGTCAAGTGTTACCACATTAAAGTGTGTGTGCACGCAAATAAACGTGTATGCCTGTGCCTGGGTGCAGATGAGCATGTGAGCATGTGTGAGTGTGCACACATGTGCCCATGAGTGTCTGCCTGTGTGTGTGCACAGGTGAGTGTGCTCATGAGGCATACGTGTGCCTGTGTGAATGTGTATACGAGTGTGAATGGGTGTGTGCACATGAGTGCACAGGTGTCAGCATGTGTATAAGTGTAGGCACATGTACATGACTCTGAGTGTGAGCAGCTGAGTGTGTTCGGGATGCGTGTTAGGGTGGGAAGTGGTGCTTTCTCTAGTATGTCCTCTGGAACAGCTTGTCTACCTAGTAAAGAAGTGTCACCTTTCTTTGGGAATACAATTTTAAAAAATACATTTTTAAGGAATGTAATTTGCATTGCAGAGAGTGTGTAATGGCTGGCAGCTTACAGTATTTTTCATTTTGTGGAATCCACCAAGGTTATGGATGGGGCTTTCGGGAGCCACGTATTGTACACACCGTCCCCTGAGCAGGAATTGTAGGTTGGCTTGATGTAGTGCTGTCTTCCCACTCGAGAGAAATTTAAAGTAGAGTGAATGCTGAGGTCAGCATTGGCTCCAGGCAGGACCAGAGACCCGCATCTTTCTTTTGTGGATTGAAGATCTAGTGATAGGCATCAACTCATCCTGCAGCATGATAGGCTCATCAGTGGTGATCTCAAGGAAGCTTTTCCAGCAGAAGACAGACGGGGCATGGCCATGTGGAGCCAGTGAGCTTTCACTTAAAGGGACCTGGTTTCTACTTATACCTGTGACCCACAAGTGCTCAACAAACCAACTGATCACCCCTTTTAGGAATCCCGTGAAAAGGGAAATTGAGAAAGATGAGAGAATCCGGAAATCATGTTGGCGGGTTATACATTGGAGAAGACATATTAATCTGACGTTTTAAAAGTCACAAATTGACACATTACAAATGATCTCTTATCCTGGCCTGCAACCCCTTTCTAAACCTGAGAAAGGGGAGTGCCTTCTGCCGTACTTTGGGATCCCCTTTACTGGCTCTGCCCCTCAGGGCACTCTGAGAAGTGATGTGTGGGACTAGGTTGATCAGAGGCCGCAGCTGTACATTCTGCCTTCTCCAAGGGCCTGTTAGAAGGCCCGCAGCCGGCTGCTGTTCTTATCCATCACCACTGGGGATCTTCCAAATGACACCGAGTTCCACAGAGGGCCTCCTCTCCTCACGGACAGGAAGACTGGCTTTGCAGTTGTATTTCTATCAAGAAGAAAAAAAAAACCACGTCAGCCACCCTGTGGCACAAGTAAATTAAAACCAAAGTTCCAGGGCGAGGCCTAGGACTAGTGGATTCCACAGGAAAGGGGGCTCTGGGCTGTCGGGCGGAGGCTCCTTTTCTCTCCAGAGCTGCGCTGGGTGTGTTGCCATTCTGTGGCGCTCGGGGATACTTTGGGTGATGTTCACCTTCTGGGCAGGTTCTCTACAAGCAAAAAGGTTTACAGGAAGACGGGTGTGAGACAGAGGGAGGGAGGGAAGGAGAGAAGCCACTTGGTGTTGCTATCTGGGACCTTTAAACAGTGAGTTTTGCTCTGGGAGGTCAAGTGGGTCTCTCATGGGTGGACTCTGGGATGCCAGCCATTCGTTAGTGGCCTGAGCTCACTGACCAGGCAGCAAAGCCAGCCTGGAAAAGGGAAAAAATTAGTTTTCCTTTCAACCAAAATGGAAAGACATGTTTTTGTTTACTATGGAGACTATGCAACATATAATTACTCAACACAATTGTGGTTTTATTGCTGAAAAGGAGCCGTTTTATCTCTTCCTGTTATGTTTGGCTACCCAGTTATACACACACACACACACACACACACACACACCCTTTTCCATCCCTGCCTGGGAATTCTCATTAGGGCAGCAGCTCTTAAATTGTGGTGAAGCTCAGTTTGGTTTTTAATTTTGAAACCTTGCAAAATAATGCTTTTATATAATGTAATAAATTAACACTGTGTATATCAATATTTAGTATTTTGAATATGGCAAATGAGTTTTCTTCTGGCTGATCTAATTGGGCAACAACCCCACTCATAGAGGAAAATGTCTCCCTAAATGATTTCTGTTTTGTTATAATAACACATGGTAGACAGAACACTCTTGGAGACACGTTGATGGGATCTGAAAAAGATTATAAAGTAAACTCATCAAGCTCAGGCTATTTCTCTTTAAGTTTTATCCAAATGAAAGCAAATGGTGCTTTGTTCATGTCCACTTCTTCAGCAGGATTCCTTTGCCACAATTTACCTACATAAATTGTAGTTAAAATGTCATTTGATGAAAAGAAAGAATTCTATAATTGTATACTTTATTGGCTTACAGCTGACAAACCCTAACACATTGTGGTTTGTGTAGAAATTCTAGTTGGCTCAGGCTACTTGCTTGTGGATACCTGGACTGATCAGCAAGTCAGTTGGCCAACATCAAATGGCAATGTCACGTAACACCACAAACGTTTACAAACACTGCCAGTATTGCTAAACCCTCCTCTCAATTCTCATCTCATATGAGGCAAATAAAAACTAACAGTCCAGAGACATGCTGCCTCCTAGAAGCCCACCAGGCTTAGCCTCCCATGCCTCCGGGCCCATCCTAAAGCCCAGCCTGCTCAACCCTTCTAGAGTGTCTAAGATGAACATCCAGGACATTGCCTTAAATGATTGGAAGAATGACTATTTTTAAAACTTGATTTGGAAGCTGTTCTTTGAATAGCAGTAGGTGGAGGAGTTTGGTTGAAAATTTTTTAAGCCAATGACGGCATTAAGATGCTCTTGTGTTCACCACACTAGCCCCTGTGGTTGGCAAACAAATGCCACTTTGGCTCTAACATCTGTTAGTTCAGGGAAAACAGAGCTATGGAAAGAAGTGCCCCCACCTGATTCACCTTCACACGCTGCTTCTCCTTGAAACCTGCCTTTTACTTCTGTACCTTTAAGAAAGCAATCTGTTACAGCTGAAGCTGATGGAGCTGGTTATTGATTTTCATTTAAAACCTTACCTCCCAGAGTCTGTTCTTACCTTCTAAATTGGGGATAACCACCTCGCTCACAGCCTGTTGTGAGGCTTTCAGGAGATGACGAGCATCGAGCTTGTGGCACGGGGCCTGGTGCAGAAACAGGCACGGGAATCTTCCACAAATGCCAATGGGAGGACTCCAGGTAGGGGACCAGCTTCGGAATCCCACTACGCCAGCTCTCTAGCTCAGGAAGACCCAGCGCTGGGCTTTAACTCCACACGGAATTGTGCCTAGAGTCACTCTCTGTGGATGGTGGTCTTGGCTAAAAGGTTCGTCCGGGTTTTCCTTAATGACCTAAAGCAGCGGTCCCCAGCTTTTTTGGCACCAGGGACTGGTTTCATGGAAGACAGTTTCTCCATGGGCAGGATGGGGAGGTGGTTGGTTTTGAGATGATTCAAGCGCATTACATTCATTGTACACTTTATTTCTATTATTACATTGTAATATATAATGAAAAAATTACACAACACACCGTAATGTAGAATCAGTGGGAGCCCTGAGCTTGTGTTCCTGTAACTCGGTGGTCTCATCTGGGCTGATGGGAGGCAATGACCCATCATCAGGCATTAGATTCTCATAAGGAGCATGCGACCTAGATCCCTCATATGTGCAGTTCACAATAGGGTCCACACTCCTCTGAGACTCTAATGCTGCGGCTGATGTGACAGGAGGTGAAGCTCAGGTGGTGACGTGAGTGACGGGCAGCAGCAGTCAACACAGATGAAGCTCCACTCACTCGTTCACTGCTTGCTCCTGTGGTGCAACCCAGGTCCCAACAGGGCCCAGACCAGTCCTGGTCCATGGGGAGTTGGGGGTTGGGGACCCCTGAATGAAAGGAGACCAGAGAGTGGATACAACTGGATGCTGCTCTCAGTGGACACTGACAGCCTCAGCCAGCTTCTGCTGCTGGGCCCCAGCACGTTTTAAGGCTAGGTATTGACAAATCACAAAAATTGGATCTTATTGGTTGATTCCATTTCTGCCTATTTAATAGGAGTGGGAGACATAGATCTTATCAATTCGCACTTCCACGTCACTGGTGAGGCTGTGCTCATGTATTAGCTACGTGTCTGCTTTTTTGGCAAATTGTGCACATACTTTGCTCATTTTTCACTAGGTCATCTTTCTAAAAAATGATTAATCCGGTACATATGCTGCAGGTATTTTCTTCCAATACATGGTCTGTGTAATTACTGACTGCTGCTGTCAGCGAGGAAGCAGAGGACTGAAGCCGCCCACTCTTCTCTAAAACATACTTTGTTTTCTTTCACTGTTGAGTACACTTTAGGGTAAAAGGCTGTCTAATGGCTTTCAAGTTTGCTTTCTAAAATGCATCCTAGAGAGCTGTCTGCTCCTGGCCCGTGCCCTCTCCCGGACTGGCCACTTTTGCTTTGTGATGTGAGAATACCCAGGAATGATTTGGATTCTGAAACCTGCCTTGAAGGATTTTGATCCTCAAGGTTGGCCTTCCTTCTGCTCCTTATATTTTGCCAGTGGGGTGTAGTTCCCTCTTCTTGTGCGTTGCCGAGGCTCAGCCTTTCGAGAAATCCTACAGGACACTTTGAAGAGTAGAGAAAGGTGTTTGCTGGGCTCCACTTTGAGTGCTGGACCCCTATCAACTGCAGTAGGGCTGGCAGTAAAGCAGCTACATTGCCTGGGGTCTATATCCTGGGTTCCTTGTCGTGCCGGGAAAATGTAAGACATGGCACACATGAGGAGTTTAGGAGCAGAGGTTTAATAAGAGAAATAGCTCTCTCCATAGAGAAAGGGGTCTCCGAGTGGAAAGGACCAGCTGGTGGCCAAGGTGCCAGATTTTATGGTCTGGTTTGAGGAGGTGGCGTCTGACTCACCTTGGAGTCTCAGATTGACTGGATCCGGTATGATGTTTACATAGTGCATGGGGGAGGGGAAGGCTGGTCACCTCACCCTAATCTTATTAGGCAAAGGGGCTTTCCAGTGGATCGGGCCATCTTGTCTGCTCGACTGTACATGTGGCTGGCAGAGAAGGGATGATGGAGCTGGCATCCTCAAGCTGTCTAGTCCCTCGTTCTCGCCAGCATTCACTCATGCAGCCTCCCAGCCTGCTCGTCTGTCTGCAGCTTGACTTTACAGGATGCTCGTTGCTAGAAAATGATTTGGGGCTGTTTTTCATTAAAAGAAAAAGCCTTACTGAGGACTCCCAGGACCTCACTATTTGCCTAAGTAATTGCTTCTTAGCTCCTGTATCAGCAGATTTGGGAGGCTGAAGAAAACACCCAGAGCCAGCACACCAAGCACAGAGTTCACTGAGGGGAATTTTTATACAGAATGACCCAGCAGTGCTGGGCTGGACAGGAGAACTGGAGTAGCTTGCAAAATGCATGCAGCTCATAGAGCAGCTTCAGTGAGTGCCCTCCCACGATCACCTTCTACCCAGCCACCTTCATTTAACCTGACACAAAGGGCCTCTATACCTGGTATCACATTCTGTGGTGTGGGCTGGGGGCTCAGATGTTTCTCATAGATAAGGAATGAATCTCTGGGATGGGCCGCTCCCAGATTCCTTGGTTCAGAACAGAACGGAGCTAAGACATCATGCAGCCATGGCCATTCTCAGGGTGTGTTTGTTATCACTGCCAATTGTGTCTGCCACATGTGGCCAGGAGTCCAGGAGCTCACAAGCAGGGCTCAGACTTTTTCTTTTCCTCCTCTAATGTCACTGGCAGGCCGGGCGAGGTGGCTCATGCCTGTAATCCCAGCACTTTGGAAGGTGGAGGCAGGTGGATCACCTGAGGTCAGGAGTCCAGCCTGGCTAACATGGTAAAACCCCATCTCTACTAAACATACAAAAATTAGCTGGGTGTGGTGGCACACGCCTATAATCCCAGCTACTTGGGAGGCTGAGGCACAAGAATCACTTTGAAACTGGGAAGCGGAGGTTTCAGTGAGCCAAGATTGTGCCACTGCAATCCAGCCTGGACGACAGAGTGAGGCTTTGTCTCCACAAAAAAAAAAAAAAAAAAAAAAAAAAAAAAAAAAAAAAAAAAAAAAAAATTGAAAAAATTGAAAAATTGAAAAAGTTACTGGGATCCATTGTATTTCCCACATCTGGTGGTTGAAACATGAACTCTGAGATAAAAACCTGAAATCTTTTCTCAGCAGCAACATCTAGCAGTTTAGTGACACTGGGCAAGTGACTTAACCTCCCTCTGGCTTAGTTTCCCCATCTGTAAGTGCATTAATAATTTTAGTTGCCCTATCTCACAGGGCTGTTGTAAGGATTTTCTGG